GTTCGACGCGCGCGTCACGGGAGCACGCAGCTGGTGTTTTTTCACGCTTTTTAGTCAAAACACCGGAGCAAGTAATCCGTTCGTATCGATTCCAAGCGGAGCACCAGCTTTCGCGTAATTACTCGACTGATATTCCTCGCGCGTGCAGCCGCAAACTTTGCAACGGACTTTTTTCCCCGAAACGTCAGGACGAGCCCTCGGCGGTCTACGCCAATGCGTCTACGCGTTTCTTCGGCTCTCCCTGACTCTCGTGCGTTGTCGTTCACCGGCGATGGACCGCGCGCGATTAATTCGAATCGCCGAGCGAGAAAGAGAGAGACAGAGAGGAGTTATCGCTCTCGGACTGGCCGTAATTTCCGATCGATTAATCAAGAGGAAACTTTGGCAACGCGGTGTCGCCTGTTGCATGCGAGCAACGCTGTGTGTACACGACGTGCGGCAACGTAATAGCGTCGATTTGTAAACAACGCGAGACGCTGTCTCGTCCACGAAGAGCGGTGCATCGCTGGTCGAACTAGACGCGAAAATAATCGGCGCAACGACGGGTCCAGCACGCGTCACCGCCACTCGTTCGTTATTTTCCGCACCGCTTTCCTTTGATTCTCGATCGAAAGCTTTCACCCCCTACGCGACGACCGACGCTCGAAAAACACACCGGTGTGCTCCTTCGAATCTCTCCGCCACGCACGGCAAAGAGAGTTGCCACTTTCTATGCAGCACGGTCAAGAAAGCGTGGAAAGCACGAAGAACACGCGTCACCAGGCGAGAATATGTCGAAGGAGCGATCAGGTACGAGAGGCAATTACTGAAAACACACGCGTCACTCGCTGCCCATTCATGGACGACTCACGACACAGCGGCGTGCTTTACCTAACCGAGCAAGGCTAAAAGGAGCCGTGTGTCCACGGCCGAGACGATCGTTTCGCGAGAACTAAGCTACGATTCACGGTCGAGACGTTGCTGAAACATGCAAGAACGACGCGAACAAGGCAGCTGTTCCACGTGGAGCGTCGCCCACGGATGCGTACGGCCCTGCGCCGAGAGCTAAACCCTCGACCGCAACGGGACTGCGCCTCGCCACAGTTACTCTTTTCTGTCACCGCCGCCGCCGCCACCGCCGCCACCACCGCACTCGCCACTCTTGCACCAGGAACAAAAAAAAAATGTTTCGTGGCTCGCGTTAGACCAACGATCAAACGGTCCTGATCTCCTTAACGATACGGCAGATCCTGACCGTGACGTACGATCGCCGTCGATCAAACGGCGAAAAGAGGCGCGAACGAGGATGTTTTTCGCGGGTGCAATGGCGCATTGGCCGCCACATTTTTTTCTCGCTCCTCGTCGTTTCAAAGTCCCTCCCGTCGCGGGAGACTCAACACTCGCCAGTTGACAGTGTCACCCTAAAAATCAATAAGGGGTTCACCCTCGACCCTGCCCACCCTCTTCCTCCTCCTGCACCTTTCTCCACCTCCGCCGCCTCCTCCTCCTCCTCCTCCTCCTCTTCCTCTTACGCCTCTTACTCTCTACGTTTATCCCAGGAACGTATAGCAGGGGGTCGATGGGTCGACGAGGTTATGCTGGTCAGACGACCAGTCATTCTATTAGGCTGCGATGCGACGCCAGGAGGCTTGCTAACCTTCGGGCGCCGCGCGAACACGGATTTCCTCTAATGTGTCGCTTCGATTTTCATACATTTTTCTTTTTCTCTTTCCTATTTTATCAATCGACCTAATTTCTTTCGCTTTTATTTCACTCGTTCGACTGTTTGACTTTCAATGTTCTCGTCTTTAAAGGGATGGATTTCGGTCTCGCGATAAAAAGATAACTGTCCTAACTCTGAAAGGTTTTATCTTGACTCTGTTAATGGACTCCACGGTAAAGCCCTTGCTTCGCGGATCCATTTATGTATATTTTTTCGCGATCGAAGCGAATTCATTTTTCCGTTCGTTTATACGTCCGTGTTTCAGTAGCTATCGCGTTATGCTTCCTTGTTTCTCGGCGAGTGGTTCGAATAGAAAGGCGGCATCAACGGGAAACTATGCCGACCTACCTCACCATCATGCGCGAACTACCAGAAAACGGAGGAGGATCGGTCCAGGGGGCCGGAAGTTACGCGTACCGGAGCACTTTCTAAAATTTTACGAGGCTAGATCGTTGTTCTAGCCGTTGACTACCATTATCGGCACCTGACACGAATTCATCGAGCAAATTGTGGCCTCGAATCGCGAAACTAGCTCGATCAGTGGCGAAAGCATGGTTAAGAAGATTCTTCGGTAGCTGCTACCTTTCTCTGCTTCTCTCGATCTTAACAACGAACACGAATTACCCACGGTGTCTGGGTAATTTATGGAATATGTCACGGATAAATAAAAACCAGACGGGAAATGGTAAAATACGAACGAATCGGTAAATTGTTTATTTCTAGGCAAACGAGGGAAGAGTCCAATAATGTCGCGGATAAAACGTCACGATAATCGTTTGCCTTATTTAGTCAAAATTAGCTGGTAGATAAACTTGAATAAAAATGTACCTGAAAGAAGGACGTTGCTCAGTTCCATCCTCCGTGTCGCCTATCGTAGTCCATCGTCTTCTCGGTTGTTCTTTCGACGCCAATTTGTTAAAGAAGAGAATAAAAGGAACGAAAATGTATCACAAGCTTCCACGACAGACCTTTAACCCGACGCGGAATCGCAAAGTGAATTTTCGGCTGATAAACGAGCGAAGGTCGTGGCTACCAGTCGAGGAGAAAGCCTCGAGCGTAAAGGCACGCTTCGCTCGCTGTCACGCGAGCAAGCCTGGCACACTGTAACGTCAGTACGCACGGCATCTCGATGTCTATCTGTTCGGTGAAGGCACGATTCGATAACCCGCGATTCGGGGTCAGTATGGCCGTCTTTTATATCCCGGAGACGGTGAAAAGTCGCCTTCAGTGACAGCTGATGCGTCGTAGTCGCTCGAGCGAGGGACGCGTCGGTCCGGCCAAGAAGAAAGAAAAAAAAGAACAGCTTGCGTCCGTGCTTCAGCTAACGAGGCTTTCACGCGAAAGCTCAATGAGCGATACGCGTGTAATTAGAGCCGTGAATGGCCACGAGAGAGTGTGACAAATTACGTATCGACGGAGGTGTCCTTTTTCCTCTCTGTTTGTTTCGCGTCGAATGCGACGCCTTTGAAGGTAAACAGTGTGGATGCGTACGTCGTTACTCGACGAAACACCGTAAAAGCGATGTCTGAAGTTTCTGGATTCGTTACCGTGGACGTAAATAAGCGGTACACTAGACGTATGATGCAAGTTTTCAAAGTTTTCTATGCAAATTGCGAGCGTTACAGCGGCGAGATTCCCTCATGACTGACGGACAAACTTCTTTCGCTACTTTTGACAATTTTACGGCCCTTTTCCATCGACCTTTCATCATTCTGATTACCATCGGTATCTTCGGCTTTCGTTTCGCACGATATATCTATAATGGTTTCTTCATTTGTCATCAGAGGTGTCATGCGAACTTGCTCACAAGTTCTTTGTTACGATCAGAACGCGAGCTATCTCGGTGACACCTTACGCGATCATCTTGAAGCTTCGTGCGTAAAAAGCGTGAAAAAGTCATTCGGCACGCGATGTCGGATTTTTTCCGCGTCACGGTAACTTCTTTCCCCGCAAACCCATACGGAAATATCCGTTGCAAACGCGTGGCGAGCCGCGAGGTGAATGACAGTTGCGGACAGTTCGTACACAAGCATGTTCCACTGACCCTGGCTAAAACGATCCGAACGAACGAACTGAAACACCACCACGACCCTTGGCTGCACGTGTTCTCTCTCTCTCTCGCTCCCTCGTCCTCTCTTCCCTGTTTCTCTGTTTCCCCTCAGAAGTGGACTTTCTGCACTTTTGCTCGACGCTATTCCCAACCCAGAACTGTCCGAAGGAAGCCGCACCGCTGTTCACCAAGATATTAGGATAAGTTTCATTCATACAAACTTTGGAACAAATCTCGACCTTCGGAAACCGCAAACGGGTGATGTCTACGAGTAACGTGCAAACACGAGCAAATACAATCGACCTACTCAAGAAAGAACGATCTTCTATCGTCGTATAATGTACAATTCGTTGTGATTATGGTTAAATTTCAGATAAATTAGAGATATCTGTTTGGAACTATTCGTGTTCCATGCTATCCAAACAGTTAAGATTGTTCCAAAGTTTCTTCTGGATTACCCCTCTCCATATTTACACGTTGTCAAAAACTGGTAGGCCATTACAAAAGGTGTTTAAGACTGTCAGTCGACGTGCTAAACTAGTACCGAGTCAAAGCGATGAATAAATTACCTATCAAGTTTTAGCGACAATGTCCTAGCGGAAGGGTTAAGCGTGTGTGAAATTCTCGATTGTTTTCCCTTTCAATTTGAATGCACGCAAAATATTTGTTTCAGTGAAACGATAAGCAGTGTCAGAGTATAATCAGAGACAAAACGAGGCTGTAACTGGGACAACGTAAAATGCAAAGTGTGGCAACATCTCGTGAACGGTTCGCAGCTGTTCCTAAGTGGAGTCGGAAGCTTGGGAGTTCACGGCACTCAGAAACAAGTTGGATCTGCGGAAAGGCACGAAGGGAAGGCCAGAAGAGCAAGTTCGTGGTTGGCTGGAGCGGGGTGGCACGAGAAGGTGGATGGGAACGAGGCACGGAAGGGAGAGGTCGCGTACGAAAGAGAAGGGAGAATAGGTCGATACGGTAAACTATTGTCTGCTGGGTGAAGTGTTCACGAGAACTGGGCGGAAGACAGCCTCGGGTTGGTTACGTGTATTCTCTAGTTCCCATGAAACGCAAAGATATGACGTGCTCGTCACCGCAACGATATTCAAGCGCATCCGAGAAACCTCGACGCCACCATCCACGCTCGCGTAACCTTTTGCTCTTTTCTCGATCGATACGTCTGTCGGCTTCGTTACCGATCGAGCACGCATCAAAAATAATCCTACATTCTCGATCGCCTCAACTTTCTGTTTCCTTCAACATTTCTTTTTACTTCTTTAACTATTCTCACTATACTATGCTCACCCGGCAAATGTTAAAAAATTTGTAACTTATCCTCAGAGTAAAAAAGGCGCGAACAATTATAATTTATTATAAACTTTTAACTGCTAAATTAAGCTTCTATCCACTTTCATTAATTGTAAAATAGTATGTAAGTGCATTGTAACTAAAATGTTAAATAAAATAAAATAGAAAAATTATTAAATCTTTTTAAATTTGCGTAAACGAAATGGCGGGCTCAGCAGCGCCCTCTGTGACAGCACTATTCGGCGGGAGTATCAAGGCAGAGGCGATGTTAGACGTCGTGCGAAATTTGTCAGGAAATTGACAAAAGTCGTAGAACTGTGAGTTTCCGTGAAGCTTGAGCGCGAATTTTCGAGAATTTCGCTCGTGAACGTGGATATTTGTGTCGACACGCTGCGTACACAGAGGCGGTTTGGCATGCGGCGATGCGAGACAATCCTACATCGAAGTGTGTTTGCCGATTGTCATCGGGGGATGGAGAAGTAAACACAATTCCACCCTACCACCTTGTTTCGCTCTCTACGCGTGCAATTCGTACTTCTCTTCGTTCCTCCAGGTACGTTTCGTAACAAGTTTGCTTTCGAATTCGAGACTAACCTTCATGCCGACGACCGATAATTACAATTCATATTTTACCTCGCGTAAAAAACATTTACTTCGTCGCATTTTCTGCGAACCCATGAGATAGTTGACCTTCGTACACTGGAGCAATTATGATCCAGACCTATAAAACGTACAATGCTTCGATGGTATTAAACTTTTTTTTTCTGACTGAAGTTAGTCGAAGTTTCTGCGAGAAAAGGTTTATACCTTCAAAAGTTATATTTAGAGGAATAATGTGCAACATTTTGTGTTATATCGAGTTCAGGAAGTTAAATATTTAATGAAGTCTAACCAGCTACCGATCAAGTTCGTTTGTGTGGAATTTATCGCGACCATGGAAGAAAATTATACCGAGAGAATATCGGTAAGAAAAACAGAGTGAAAATGATTTTGCCAAGCAAAACGTTCCTCGTCTGCCATTATCGAACTGGTTAAACAGGTTATCAGTTTATAGCCACCGTAAAGAGATTTTAAATTTCGCGGCACTGGCTCGTGCATTCCGCGCCATCATTCGGTTCTTTTTTTCCCTTCTCTTTTCGCGTCGTTTTGCCGAGTTCGTAGTACCCAGTACGACGTATATAAACCGTAGGAATTCTTACTTGTTTCTGAAAGTATATTTTTAACACTCTCGCATAATTGTTTTAATCCGTTTCAGATGCTAACAAATGATCGCGATAAATAGTCTTTTTTTTAAATTTACTTACCTGAAACGTAATCAATTTTACAGCCACGAACGTTTAAATATTTATTGGTTGTTCGAGATCATAGAAAAGGAAGTTACATTTTATCTCGTATACCGAATCGGAAACACGCCTGCCCCGAGTTGTGAACAATAAAGAAATCGTTCATAGTAGATGTTTTATTTCCAATGTTAGGAACTGAAATGCCCATATAATAAAAAATATTTGTATCGTAATAATAATCATTATTATTATTATCATTATTATCATTAAATCGGGAAACGAAGGTTACGCTAAAAAGTCATTTCTATACGTACAAAAAATGAAGAGAAACTCGCAAGAAGATCAAAAGAAAAATAGAACGAACATAAACTTTTCTTTCTTTCGTCGAATATTAACCATTCTCTAATTAATTTTTTTCCCTTCTCATTCACGCATCCACGCACGCACATTCTTTCACACGCATTTCGTTCAAATATACTTCGCTCCTTTTTCGACGTCAAAACAAACAATTCACGGTAACAAAACAAAAAAAATCTTCCGTATTGGAATTTTGCACTTGCGATAGTTGCTTTCTTTTCTTTTTTCTTTTTTTTTTGTTTCATTTCTCATTGAAACTTTTCTACTACACATTGTTAAAGTCTCTTCTAGTCGATAAAGGGCTCGTTTAAAAGCACATACAAACGACCATCGTTATCGTTCGATTTTCAAAGTCACTATCTAAGCAGTTTTATGGCACGTATTCTCGCACAAGCCCTTCACTTCGTTTGCTTCCACCCTTTTTCTCTTTTACTTTGCCGCGGTTCGAAAAGAAACTCTTCCCTTTCCCGCGATTTTCTCGTATCGAATCGCGACATACACGCATACGTTTTAAAATCAGAAGTCTTTTTTCACTTCTCTTACGATTCATCAGACTTGGACGTGAAGATTTGTATCTTAAGATCGTAGTTCTTATCGTTCACGGTCTCCGTTCCCGATCATTTTATTTTCGTTATCAAAAATAAGAAAAAGGAAAGCTTCGTTAGAAATACTTTGCAACGTAGCACCATACGATTGAGAGAATATTTGGAGAAATAAAAAAATGGTAGATTTTCTGTTTCTTTTTTTATGATCGAATTAACAGGTCGAATGCTGCAACAAGATCGTCGCTGATATAATCGAAGATGTAACAAGAAAATTAAACGAGATTGTAAGACGTACATGGATCGAGTTAATATTAGTCGAGCATAATTTTACGACTCCTAATGAAACGATGAATAGCGGTAATTAAGTGTAGCTTTCGCTGCGGCATTCGACGCGTTAACAAATTTTTGTATCGGGCGAGGACCTTTTTCGAAAAACCGCGATCGTAAGTTAGCAAACAACGCTATGCTTCTCACACACGTTCCTTTCCCTTCTTTCGCTTCTACTTCTTTCGTAAAAGAATCGTCAAACATGAACAACTTATTTTTTGAAAGACATCGATATTAGAAATCTGATTTCGCTAAGAACGATCCCGACGAAGGATCTCCTCTCCTCTTTCACGCTCTTGTACACGTCTTAGGGTTACGAATGCTTGAAACGTTATCTGACATTTTATTTTTGTGATTTTCCTGTTATCAGAGTATCCTAAAACGAACAAATTCTATCAATATGTCTACGCTTAACATCGATACACCCATCGGTGCTTCTTTTCTCACGCCACTTTTAGTTTTTTATTTCATACCAGAATCATTGGAAAGCCAACGATGTTCGATCGCTTTTTACCATCTTCGTTTACTAACGAAACAGTCGATCGAATAAAAACTACCTAACAAAAATTGCATAGATTCTGTACAGAGTGTTTCATTTATCATGACCATTTATGTACCTCGAGTACATACCTTCTCTATCTAAAACCGAGAATATATCTACAATAAATACGAGCAAATAATACAAATATCCACAATGTTTCCCACGTTCTACCAATTCGAATGACTTTAAAGTAACCTTCATATCTCTTAAAATCGCAATTAATAATATTTTCAATACAAAGTGATCATAATAAATAAAATACCCTTCATGCAGCTAATTAAAGAGAAAAGCTTTTGGTTACCGATTGTAGGCAATCTGGATCGTTAACAAACGGAATCTGCCTTCCTTCGAATTTCTCTAATTATTGAAAAAGTTTTACATATTTGAGAACAGCAAAATGTTTGGACACAAACGACCCAGTCTGTCTACGAATATACAAGTTTAGAAAATATCTTGTACTAAGAAACAACTCGGCGATACGACCATCGTTGGCCACTCAATCAAGACAGCCTGTACACATTTCGCTAAATCTTAAACGCTTTTTTATCGTAATGTTGAAAGATATAATGCAAGAGGAGTTCGTAGTAAGGGTGTGTTGAGAGTGTGTGGGGGTGGATTTATCTAGCTTATCGAATACGTTGATTATATACATTATGTACAATGTGTCTCGTTGCTATTACACCGTTTTTGTTTTTGCGTGCACTTATTTCGTTTAACAGCTGACTACTGAAGATCAGTGTGTACTTTTTTGTTGTGGTTGTTGTTGTGTGTGTACGTGTCGGTACGATGAAAATGTTTGTTTTTTTTGTTGCTGTTACTTTTAACTAAACTTATTACAATAGAATTAGGGTTCTCGCGATTGTTACTACGTAAGAATCGTGTGATCGATATACAATAAACAATTATACCTTTTGACGATCCGTCGGCTAAAGATCTCGCATGTACACATATACATATACATATATTTTTCTTCGTTCATTTATTCTTTATGTATATATATATATTTCTTTTAGTTATCACATCGCACGTTCGAAACGAAGGAATTCTGACCTACGACGGTGAAACGAACCGATTTCTCTCCGCGATTTTTCTAAAGTTAAATGAAAAAAAAGACACAAACATTAAATGAAAAAATGTATTCGACATCGCGGCTGTACGCGTGAGGGTCGCGAATAATAAACGTAGAAAAAAGACGTATTTTTCTTTCTTTTTCTTTACGTACGAAAAAAAAGAAGCATTCTTCCTTTTCTTTTTTCTTCTTGATTGTTATCACAGTGCTTTAGTACGTTCATCGTTTTTATTATTCCTTCGAACATCGAATATTCTCTTCAAAATGTATATAAAAAAAGAAAGAGAACGAAAGTTACAGGCGAAAAAGTCGCTCGTTCGTTTCGATTTACGACGAAGCATCGTGTATTATTGTTACGTATAAAAAATTATTACCTAATTTATTGCATAATCACGGCAGCAGTAGCACGCAACGACAATCAGTGTACTTTTCTTCTATACATAGAGTGTGAATCGAACTGAACGAAAGAAAAAGCGAATACTGAATCAAGAATCAAAATTGTTGCAATAAAGATTGACTTAGCAGTATACTATTAATCACATTCTTGCATTCGATGTTACTAAAGACGTGAATATTTTACAATCTCTAACAAAAAGAGCCACTTACAAGTTTTTTTATTTTATGAAAATCAACGTGTCGCATAAATATTCTACATCGAACGTTTTATCGGATACAGTGGCTTTTGAAATTTGATATTTTTATATGCAAAATTATACCGAGTTGGCGACTACATGGAGGTAATATGGAAAAAGAACAATTCACAATCTTTGCAAGCAACAAGCAAGAATCGTAGAGCGAATGCCACGTAATACTGCAAAGTCGATGATTTTTACCCAGGAGATCGACCAATTTCCGTGGGCATGTCTCGAGACGCGATTCCACTGATCCGTCGATCTATCGTTTGAAAAGACGAGTCTACGTCGATCGATTAGCCGCGAGAATGAAAGAATTAAAGAGAATTAAAGGTCTGATGTCGATGATACATAGCAGTACGTGCCTCTATTGCAGCTACTAGGAATGTGAAAAAAAGAGAAACACTGTCGCGATAGTATAAAAAAATAACACAAGAACAAAAAAGTACTAAACTAGAAAAACAGCATAGGCGACAGCGTAGTCAGATGCGCGTGTACACCAATCGAATTTCTGTGCGATCGAATTCGTTCGTCACGATCCCTTCTCGATTAACCCTCGTGCACCGTTCAAACTGTATTATATCACAAGAAAAACAGAGTCAAATAATATATCGTATTCGACGAATACATCTCACTAGACGCCGCGTGCTCGATTCTGGGCTTCTCAGGCCGATCGGTGAACGCGTTGATAGGCTTCCGGTAGATAAAGCGCTAAGAAATCGTTAAATATCGGATCTCCGTGTAATTCGAACGGCGCGCACGGGTTAAACCGCGTGAACTTTCGAAGGAGCGTAATTCGACGCACAAGATTCGCGAAACGAAAGATCCTTAAACGATCGCGTAAATACACATAGGATCCCCTTTGTCGTTTCACCATTCTGTCTCGACGCAAGAGCGAACAAAGTCCTCGAGTAATCTCGATGAAAATACGATTCGTAGCGAGGAAACCCGACGGATCTTTTGTCTTTAGAAATCGTTTAATTAAACCACCGATACTTGGCTAAAACGCGGGCGGACACCCTAAACACGCATGAGATCCCACAATTGTCTATTTAGACGTCGGGGCAGCCGGCTGATGCTGTCCCGTCATCCCCAGTCTTGGTTGCGAGGAAGCAAGTAGTTCTTTGTAGTACGCGCTGAACTCTGGCGGTAGAAAGTTGGTGGCAGCAGCCGTGGGCGGAATCGGCG